GCACAGAGGGGCCATCACACGCTGTGTTCCCTCTCCAGCTCTAACTCTCGCAAGACTCGCCTGTGCGGAGCGTTGCCATGGTAACAGCCGCGGGTCTCGCGAGAGTTATAGCTGGAGAGAGAACACAGCGTGTGCTGGCCCCTCTGTGCAGGTAGCAGGGCCGGTCCTGCAGGACAGGTAACTGGAACGGCGTTCCTGCTTTGGAAAAAGTGCAGGAACGCCGTTCCCATGCGTTCCTGCAGGACTCGAGCCCTGCTATCAGCACACAGAGCACTGTGAACGCGCTTTGTGTGCTGAGGCTGTCAGCACTGCGTGGGAGTGGCTTGAGCTGACAGGTCTGACAGGCTGAAGACCGAAGAGGAGGAGGGGAGGATTCAAACTAAGTAAACTTATTTAGTGAGTGTGGGTGGGTGACTGAGGGTGGATGGATATGGATGGTGGGAGTGAATGGATATGGGGATGGATATGGATGATAGGAGTGGATGGCTTTGGATGATGGGAGTGGCTGGATTTGGAGATGGATATGGATGATGGGAGTGGATGGATTTGGGGATGGATATGGATGATGGGAGTGGATGGATGATGGATATGGATGGGGATGGATGGAGAGAGAGTGTGTGTGTATGTCTTGGGGGATTTGGGGATGGATATGGATGATGGGAGTGGCTGGATTTGGGGATGGATATGGATGATGGGAGTGGATGGATTTGGGGATGGATATGGATGATGGGAGTGGATGGTGAGAGAGAGTGTATATGTCTTTAATTTTTTACTACTTGTGTGTTTGCATAGAAACACTATATATAGAGCTATCTCTATATAGTGTTTCTGTGCAAACACACAGTTTGGCTGAGGAGGGGGGGTGGGTATAGAAAGCGAGCTGAGTTGTCAGTCAGACAGCTCAGCTCGCGAATGCGCATTCCGCGCACATGCGCGGTAGAGGAGCGGAGTTCATAGAGCGGCATCCAATGGGGTATTTCCAGTCTTTTTTAGTAGCCACTTAGTCACAGACACTGGCCAAAATTAGCATTTATATTTGTTTGTGTGTTAAAAATGCAAAAAAACAATTATGAGCGCTAACTTTGGCCAGTGTTTGTAACTAAGTGGCTACTAAAAAAAGTCTGAACATACCCCATTTGCATCATGGGGGTAGTTCTCATTCCTGGGCTACCATATACTCTTAAAGGCAACATAACCAATCTGGCAAATTTCAATGTGAAAAAAATGAAAATCAAGCCTTTTATTTGACCCTGTAACTGTCAAAAACACTCTCAAACCTGTACATGGGAGACTTCTTTGAACACAAATATTAGATTAATCTCCTAAGAGCAAGCATTAGGTTGCTAGGGTAGGACCTGCCTAGAATGGGGTACATTGTGTGGTAGGCTTATGCAATATACGATCATATAATGTAACTAAACCTCCATTATTTTTTTGCCTAGGTGAGGCGTTTTTAAATAAAACTATTACAATTTCTAAGATTTGAAATCATTGTTTAGTGAATAAGCACGTGCCCTGGATTGGGTATTACACCCTGTAATGTATGCATGTTCAGGTGAGTACAGCCCTCTTGGTTTTATATATATATATATATATATATATATTTTATTTATTTTTATTTTTTTACAGATGCAGGGAGACTGCCTATCAGTTCAGGCAGCACTATGGACGCCTATTGCGGCCATGTGACTGCTCTTTCAGATCGATCACATGGCCCGCGGGTGCCTAATTTGCTGAGGGGGCACTGTCTGGGCTGTAAGGCAGTCCCCCCAGGTTGGGAGCAACACCGATCGTTGTTGGGGGAATGCCGGCTATCGGGTAAGTACTAAGGAATACTGCAGACATACTAGATACACTTCTGTGGTCCTTAAGGAGTTAAATACCCTGGGGTGTATTCTTTTAGAAATGGTATGCCTTTGTGGGGTAGTTTGAATAAGCAGCCTGCTAAAATGCTCCAAAATGGAACATTGACCAATCAACACCATCTATGAAAATTCACACTTAAAAAAACTGAAATATTTCACAAAATAGGTCATATATCTTCTGAGTAAAACAATGTACCCAGTGTAACAGATCAAAATGTGGGAGATTTTATTATAATACATATCAAATGTATGTAAAATATGATTTCAACAAAGTTTGAGAAATTTGTGAAAAAATGGTGACCAGTTAATGTACAATATATGTCATATAAGATACCCTGAAGTGTCTGCTTCCTAAAATGGAAGGCCTTTGTGGGGTTATTTGAACAATCAAGCTGCTATAATGCCCACAAATGAGACATAGGACCATCAAATACATAAATGCAAATTCTAACCATAGAAACTGAAATAGTCTGGTCTCTTATGTAGCTTTACAGAATAGTGGAAAAGGAAAGAGGGATATTATTGTACTCCGCAGATGATGCTGAACTTAATATGTTGTTTTGTACAGGAATAGTATGTATCAGCTTTACAAAATACACAAAAAAAAAAACTTGATATGTCTGTCAAAAAAACTATTTTACTACAATATTTATCAGAGATTTGTGGTGAAATGGTTATGTGACAAATGCCAAAATACCTTTTAGGTATGATGCTTACTTTTTATATACATTTTGTGTGCCAATTTTGATTTCGGTGTTGGCTATTAAACTCATTAGACATACATACCAACTTCTAAAAATTGTTACTGTGGCATTACTTTCATTCCACCGAGTCGCGCAGACCCCCTCCTGCCGTGCTGTCCGACAGCTCCAAGCAACCGCACAGCACACTGAGGGAGACTTGCCTCCCTCAATCCATGCAGACCTCCTCTTGCCACACCGTCTGACCGAACTACGCGGCCGCACAGTTGGACATCTATATATAGATGTGGACGTGACGTCACGCCCACTCTTAAAGTAACCACGTCATCATTGCAATCCTAATTTGTTTTGTATCACAGACCTATCAGAACATAGGTAAGCCAATTTAAGTCTTCTTTAAGCCTCCATTCGTTGCCCTATCGTGGTTTCTGTTAGATCCTCGTCTAGTGCTCCTAGAGATTCCGTTGTGATTTCCTGTGTTTGACCTCGGCTTCGTATTTGACTTGTCTTTTTCGGTATCCTGACTAGAGTTGAGCAAACCCAAACGAAAAAGTTCGGGTTTGTACTGAACATTAGGTTTTTTGGACCCCGGACCCGGACATATTACTGTATGTTCGGGTTGGAGTTCAGTGTTTGGCGATTTAATGGTGCGTTTTGAAAGGCTGCAGGGCAGCCAATCAACAAGCGTTTGACTCATGTGCACTTAGAAGCCATCACAGCCATGCCTACAGTGCAGCATGTGACTCAGCCTCTATATATAAGCTGGAGTCGCGTAGCGCCACACGCACATGTGGTCTTATTAGTGTAAGGAGAGGATGCTGCCGCTGATAGGGACAGCTTAGGAAAGAATTCTGCAAACTAGTACATTAGTGGGGTGGGGTGCACTTCATATCTGAGAGTCAAATAGAAGCTTCAAATACCGAAGTGACAGCGCAATTGTAAACATTCTAATTGTTTTGCTGCTAATCTGTGAAATAGTACATTTTGGGGCCTGTTCTTAATATCTGAGCGTCAAATAGAAGCATCTAATACTGTGGTTAAAGCGCAATTGTAAACATTCTAATTGTTTTGGTGCTAAACTGCTAAATTGTAAATTTTGGGGCCTGCTCTTAATATCTACAAGTCATGCTACAACAAAATTAAACAAGATTTAAAATATGTATGGGCCAACCAGTACCTGTAAACAACAAAGTTTTACTGGTTACATTCATGACTACAAACTCTAGTGAACAGGACCTTCATGTAGTGTCTTCTTTTAAAAATCCTACAACATCATTTTAATGTGCTTTTTTAGATGTCATATTGTGAATTACCAGGTACGTAGTAGCCACAGTTTTTTTTTTTCTAAGTGAAAAATAAGTGTTATTGTGATCGCTTCCTATACAGAAGCATTAATATACATTTCTATATTGTGTAAAGACACAACTACAAAGTTAAAAACCAAACACCAAAGCAACGTGCCAGACAATCTACCTGTGCATGGCTAGTGTGAAACGATAAGTCTACATCTTAAAAATGCAATAACCCACAGTAGATGGGCGAGAATTTTTTATTTTTTTTGCAAATGGAACTTTGATTCGCATTTACTACATCGGTCACTTGTAATATTGTTTCACACCTACAACATTTGTTACACAGATCTAAGTGATAGAAAACAGATTGATATTTTCTACACTAGAAACTACCAGATAACAAGCTGCTATATTTAAACCAGTTATTAATAGCTAAGAGGTACTTCAACAATATTGTAATTCTGGGGCAATACCCTCACAAGTCAATTTGAGAGGTCAGTTTATATGGAAAACTGTTGCCTGGAAGAAATTCTAAAACAATTTCCATATGTCCTTTGCAGACTTTGTGGAAAAACACAGGTGCCAACTGCTGTGGCTTTCTGCAGTATGCATACCGGCAAGGAGGGCAGGGTTGAGGAGTGGGTGGAAGATGATGTGGAGGATGATGAGGTCCTAGACCCCACATGGAATCAAGGCCATGCGAGTGACGTGTGCAGTTTGGAGGAAGAGGCGCTGTGGCACAGAGGCACCAGCACAGCATAAGAGGGAGCAGGGTGCAAAGCGGAGCGGCCGTCCCCTAGCGCTCGTTGTCATGTATTAGCTAGAGAATTACCAGTTATCCAAGTAATACATGTAGCGATCAAAGGATCCATAATAGACTTGAGCGAACCCGAACTGCAAAGTTTGGGTTCGTACCAGATTTAACGATCCATTCGTAGTTTCACAGTGAGTAACTTCGGCCTTCCCGCTCACCGCCTCATGATACTTTGCGAGCAGCAGCAGGCGATAGTGGAGTTTCAGCTGCAGCACGCACGGGTCAGTGGCTCTGCACCAGACTTCCCTCCAATTGATCAGAGTTAAAGGATTTCAAGTGGACTCGTTACAATTACAGGGCCTCTAAAGAGTCCTGTGTTGTTATTTGTCGTCACCACCTTCCCGCGTCGGGAGTGGGTCATTTGCGCGCCTGCTGCCTTCCTTGCATGTGGTAGCCGTTTCTCAGGGTCCCTGTACGGAATGGAACCCTGATTCCCCGTTACCCGTGGTCACCATGGTAGGCGCAGAAACTGGCATCGAAAGTTGATATGGATGACATCTGCATGCAAATCGCCGCCACAGGGATGTGTGATTTGCCCGAGGTTCTCTAGAGTCAACAAAGTTCCAACGCAACTATAATGTCAACAGCTACTCTGCAGAACAGAGTTGTCTTTTTTATAGTAATACAGTATTTTGGGGGCTACCCCAATTTAAAAAAAATAAAATAAATAAAAAAATATATATATATATATATATATTTTAACAACCCTTCTTTTGACGGTACCTTCGCCGACGGATGCTCCTAGTGCTTTCCGAGGACTCCAAGCACTCTGCCTGACACCATAACCACTGCAGATCCCACGAACCGCCGCAGCTTGGTTGGGATCTCGCCGTCTCCACCCACTCTGGACCCAGGACCAGGGTCCAGCTTCCAGCAGGTCGACCTCTCTCCAAATTCCAGAGAGCAGGAACAGGAACAAGCTCTTAGCAGAGCTTAGTGAATATACCCTGGGGAGTATAGTGATTTATAGCAATCCCCAGAGTGTAGTTTCTCCAATCCCCCAAACATGAGCCGAAACTTCATGAAGGTACAAGATGATCTGTTTATTGGCACACAAAGAACCTTCTTTTATGCAGGTCCCCATGCAAGGGGACATCCCACTGGGTGGGACACAGTACAACCAATCACACAATGGTTACATCCCACACATCTCCTCCCCTTAGCCTGAGAGGTAACCCAATTATCCATACATTTTAAAACACACTTTTTACCCAACTTTCATAACTCTAAAACTATACATCACATTCACATAAAACTACATATTCACAATCAATCCATTCAGGGGAACAACATATTAAAAAATGGCCTGAATCAGACCAGGGGTTCAGAAGTTAGCACAAGTATCTTTTGGGGCCTGGCTGGCAGCATGGATATCTGGCCCAAACTGGTTTCAGAGTCTTCTATTCTGGAGATAATTGAGAAGTAATGCAATTATCTCCAAGGACAGAGGCAAAACTCCATTAGCCACATGGCAGACAAAGGACAACAAAAGACATAAAAATACATACTGTTACATTTATCACATAGAACCTACACATTTCCAATTTACCGAACACATAATAGCATATATAATATTGCAGACCGCCTGAATGCAATCTGCTACATAGTCTTAAAGGGACATTGTTCCTAAAAGTCATAATATGTCCAGGGATGGTTTTTAAAGGGCCAGCAGCAGCACCATACAAATCCAATATGCCCAAATATTGTACTTGAAGGGCCAAATAACCCAGGGCCATAGTCATGAGGCAAGAGGCTGGCAATCAGGCTCCTCCAACAGCCAGGGGAAAATCCGGTGACAAAAGGCGTTTCGTTTTATATATATATATATATATATATATATTATAGCCAAAAGTACAAGATAGCACTCCAGGGACTTCCAAGTTGAATAAATAAAACTTAGCTTTTATTAGCTCAAAATAAAAATCAATAAATCAATAAATAAAAATCCTGATGAAAGTCTGTGATACAGACTGAAACGTTCATTTTTATTTTGAGCTAATAAAAGCTAAGTTTTATTCAACTTGGAAGTCCCTGGAGTGCTATCTTGTATTTTTGGCTGTATCTGTTTGCTGATAAGCACCGGGCAAGTACATCAAGGAAGGTGGAGTGCATTACTATTTTTGTTTTATATATATATATATATATATATATATACAGTGTTGGCTACCTCATCTTCCTCCTTCCTCCTCCACCGCCACGGTCACCACCTCCTCAACCTATGGGTCACTTAGTATAAACTAGGTACAGATTAGCAGAGGCTTGTGAAGACTTTTTCTCCATGCATCAGGACTGGAAGAAATGCACCGCAGGCTGCAAGTGTTTCTTTATTTGTATGTCCCAATATTTTGTGGGCTACCACAATTAAAAATAAAAAACAAAACATAAAATACAGTGTTGGCTACCTCATCCTCCTCCACCACTGCTTCCTCCTCCACCGCCACGGTCACCGCCTCCTCATCCTATGGGTCACTTAGTATAAACTAGGTACACATTAGCAGAGGCGTGTGAAGGCATTTTCTCCATGCATCAGGACTGCAAGAAATGCACTGCAGGCCGCAAATGTTTCTTTATTTGTATGTCCCAATATTTTGTGGGTTACCACAATTAAAAAACAAACAAAAAAAACCCAAAACATTAAAATACAGTGTTGGCTACCTCATCCTCCTCCTCTACCGCCATGGTCACTGCCTCCTCAACCTTTGGGTCACTTAGTATAAACTAGGTACACAATAGCAGAGGCTTGTGAAGGCCTTTTCTCCATGCATCAGGAGCTGAGCTCAGTTTGAACAATGAAAGAGAATACCCTGCACTCCAACCCTCTCTCAAATGGATAATTCTGTTGATCCTCCTGACAGCCATGCTTTAGATTTTGATTTATGTTCTTCCGAAGCTAAATTCTAAGATTCCATCTAGTGCCATTTTATGGCTCCCCTGTATTTTTAATTTTTGTTATTTTAAGTAATTTCCCTATCCACATTTGTTTGCAATGCACTTGTCCTACTCTTACCCCCATTTTACTTCCTTTTGCAGCTCTCTAGTCTTTTTTACAGGAGGTTTTTAGAGGCATTATTGTGGCCAAAAGTTCGGGTCCCCATTGACTTCAATGGGGTTCGGGGTCAAGTTAGAGCCTACATCCCGGACTTTTTATCAAAGTTCGGCCAAATCCGCCGGACCCGAACATCCAGGTGTCCGCTCAACTCTAATACTGACCTCTGCTTCGTATTTCACTTGTGATTTCTGATATCCTGACCCAGCTTTGTCTTGACTCTGAGTATTCCTGTCCTTGATTTATCTTGACCCTGTTTCTTGTTGTATATTACGTTAATTATGGCTAATGTAAGGCTTGGTAATGTCTTTCAGATCGATCTTTTGTGGGTTTCCTCTTTCCTGCGTGTTGGGGTAGACTCCCGTGACAGTTACACATGGAAATTTTATTTTACTCCTTGTATTTTGTGACCTGTAGCTTTCAAAATAAACTGAAATCCTCTGTACTCTGTAAATTAAGACTCCTAAATGAATTTACTTTAAATTGTTTTTCCTAATTTGCACATATTATGCACAAAACTGGGGGGAAAAAATAGGTTTGTTTTTTTATTTCATAATAAATGAGAATTTATATATGTATAGGTCACATCAAATTAGAGCCCCTTTTGTCCTTTAAAAAATGGTATATATGTTAGTGCAATAAATAACAAAAATGAAAATTGCGGTTGAACACCTTAAGTGTATGTCCAGCTCCTGAAGCTGTGTTCTTAAGAGGTTAACCTTATTTTTCAGATCCCTTCTTAGTTTGCCCTTCCTTTAACTTTAATTTTAAGGGTTTTTTTTTGGGGGGGGGGTTTATGGTTTTTTTAACACACGGAAAAGTATGGACTAGGGACTACTTTTCCTTGTGTAGAGTAAGCAGGTTTACAAAGGGAGGAGCTTTACTCAAGATCAGCAGCGAAACTACCACCGGTGTGACTGCACTTGGGCCCACATGCCAGGAGGCCACTTAGGGCCACTCAATGGGTATTGCTAAAAGGGCAGCAGTGGGACAACGTCAGTGCCAGTCACTTCCTCTCTGCTTCATATAAAGAGTGCTGTGTGGGAGTAGGAGAAGGCCACAGCGGCACATATGGCAAGAGGGAGAGAAGTAAAGATCTGATGCAGACCCCACGCTCTTATCAGCCTCATGAAAATACAAATACCCCTTCATTCAAAGATCAACACTACACACACAAACAGCTGCATTTAAATGCAAACACTACACACAAGTAAACCACCACATTCAAATGACAACAGTACATACAAATAAACTCCTACATGCACACACATACTCTATATAAAAACATGCTTGCATTCAAACGCACAATTACAAATACACCTCTGCAGCAATGGGTAAATGGTACATCCCCAGCTGGCGTAGCATTGTGGGAATTATATGACAGATGGGAATCTACCATTCCTGCGCTTGAAGGAGGCCGAGTAAAATTCTTACACCAGGGACCTCTCCACATTAATTCAGTTATTGTCTAACTTCCACTGCCTTTGTCAACTTTATCAATGGCCCCTGATTCAAGTACTCACCACCCTCCAGTGCCGTGTCACATCCTCTTGCAGCACATCACTGTTCTCAATATTGACTCTCACGCACACACAGCTATAGGCAATGGTTGACATACCCGCTTGCCACCATATTTTAAAATAAAGATGGCTGTCCCTCGAAAGAAGAATGGGGGAACCAGCAATCTGTTAATAGCAGTAAGTAAAGCCGGCCCCAGAGTCTGAAAATGGGTGGGAGGGTAACTAGGGGTACAGATGCAATGATATAATATGACAGATCCACTTTAAGTCTGTAATTTGTTTGCCTAAATCTTAACCAATATCCATGATACTACAGCACAAAATAGACATTATATTGAACTTGTTCACAGACCTAAATCATCCTAGCACATTGTCTGGCACAAACATTACATACTCTTAAACTCATTTAAATGATTATTGGCACACAATTGTCTGAATGCTGTCTTACTTCTGCCTCTGTCTTCCTTCCTCTCCGCACTCAAAATACTATGTCTCCCAATGGGCACCAAGTGATATCCTGTCAGAGGTACTTCACACTGGAGACCCAACCTTGGCATAAAACTGTTGTAAAATGGTTTAACCCCTGAAGGAAAGCCCATATCTGAACACACCTTTCCCTATAAGAATTTAAATGAACTTAAAGGGACACTCCACTGCCCAAATACAAAAGAAAACACTGTTTAGTAGATATCTCCCGAATGAAATAATGCATAATTAAATACATGAATCACTTCATTTGGTGGTATGTCTAAAAACAGCTTGTAACAGTAGCAGATTTCTTGTCTGCAGCATTTGCAGGCCCTCCCCTTCTAACCCCGCCCAGACTTTCTGTGGCTGTCCAATCACAAACTTCCCAATGCAGCTCAATGAGACATGCTGAAGTGCTTTATGGTTCTGCAGTGTCTCTTTAAGTTATGGGGTGGAAGTCTTCCTTTTAAATCCTTAACAGCTAAAATGTGGCTGTTAATTGGATAATCTGTTGTTCTTTTTTACAGTATTACATTAGTTCAATAATTTATTCTGTTAATATGGTCTTGTCAAAATATGTAACCGCTTCATTCGAAAGCTGTAATTATTTTACATATTCTTTTACAATTGTGAGTAGATTTCCGCTCACAGCCTTCTTTTGTCTGCTGTCATTAAGTGCTCTCCAGACACACTT